TGCCCTGCCTTGCTCTATACAGATTTTAAGGCACTGTATGCGGTGAATGTGTGCAGTCAATTTTCAAAGAATTAAAAGGTAATAAAATAGTTGAACCTAGAATTGAACATAAGCTGGTCTTTGATTCTGAAGTTAAGTTAGGATCTTGAAGGAAACCTTGGGCTGCCATCATATTCATCAATTTTCTTCATGCTGAACTTGTGTGGGAGCACTGTGGAGTGTAGATCTCTGTGTGATGGAAGCCCGAGCGAGCCAGGCTTGCCTGGGTTCATTTTGTGGAGATGACCTGAAATGATTCTTGTTTATGGCTTGCTGAGTCTTTAGAGCCGCATTTCAAAATGAGTTTCAAATTGGCAATGGGCCTCCTCATTCCCCAAAGCCACATTCAAAGCTGCGCTGCTGTTTATAGTAGCATTTGCTTAATCATCTTAAAAGTAAAGGGATGTTAATCACAGAGACAGAAAAGAGAATGGCAGTTGCGAGGGGCAGGTGGGGGAGTAGGGGTGGGAACAGGGGCTTCTTGTTTAGTGGGTCCAGAGTTCCAGTTTTGCAGGATGCAGAAAGTTCTGGAGATGGGTGGTGGTGATGGCTATGGCGAATGTACTTAGTGCCACTGAGTTGTACCCTTAAAAATGGCTAAGCTGGTAAATTTTAGGATATGTATATTTTATTACAATTAGAAATAAAAAAAATAAGAGGGAAAGAAGATACTGAAAACGATTCTGTCTTGTCAGAAGCTGACTTTGTTAACTGTCACTTTTCCTGCCCACTGCCTGCAGTGGACATGCCTGTGGCTTTGTGCTGTGTCTTTACAGGGGCCCATGTTACAGACTCTGCTGCCAGGAGATGCCTTCCAGTTAGGCCCAGTGGTGAATGTGGCCCTGTCTTCTCTTCTTCTAGAACTTAATCTTGTTAACTAAATTTTTTGGTTTTTAACTTATATGCAGTGAAATTCACTTTTTGAAGATGGACAGTTGTGTGAGTTTTAAGACATGTACAGATTCATGTCATCCTTCCAGATCAATCAGGGTCATCACCTCCAAAATTTTCTCCTGCCTCCCTTTGTGGTCAGACCCTCCTCTACACCTAACATCTGTCTGCCACTGGTGGCACTTCCACCCTTATCATTTTGCCTTTTTCTAAAATATGTTGTGTACCTGAAATCATGTAGTATGTAGCATTTTGAAACTCCTTTTTTTTTTTTCACTCAGCATCATGTTTTTGAGATTCCTCCATGTAGTTGCATGGATCACTAGCACCTTCCATTTTATTGACGAGTATTCATTCACATGCATGGACCATGGTTTGTTCAGCCATTTCCCCGCTGAAGGACATCTGAGTTGTTTTCAGTGTTTGGTGATTCTGAATAATGCTACAATGAACATTTGTGTGGAGGTTTTTGTGTGAACAATAAATTTTCATTTCTCCAGGGAAAATACTCTGAAGCGAGTTGCTGGGCCATATGACAAGTGTATGTTTAATTTTATAAAAAGCTGCTGTGCGATTTCTCAGAGTCACCGAACTGAGCCATCTAGGCTGCCTTGTTGAGGCCTCCTGCTTACAGACTCACGCAGCCACGTGTCGCCAGTGTAGATGGTGGGGGTGCCTCACCCACATGGGGAAGGTGAAGGGCTGGGCTGCTCCACAGCAGCCTTGTTGTCCTTCTGAGCCTGTTCTCCAAGTAAAAACATCTTAAAAGACTAGGCAGTGAAAGGGTTTTTTGTTTGTTTGTTTTAAAAAGTTACTTTGGTATAGAAAATTGGGAATGTAGCTGAGAAAGGAAAAAAAAAGGCTAAAAGTTACAGCCCTGTGACCTTAGCACGCCAGTGAGTCTGGCTAATGCCATCTTTGTGCCCAGCCTTCTGAGCTCTGTGGCTCTCACTTGGTTGCCCTGTCCCACAGACACAAACACACACACACGCATGCACACACGGTGGGTTATAGTGAAGAGGCTGTGGACAGACTGCCTGGGGCTGAGGTGGTGCTGAGGCAGCCGGAGCCCTGCTCAGGGGTTGGTCTTTCCCGCTCACCTTGCTTCTCCCCTATTAGGCCTACAGTGACCTGGCTGTGTGACTTGTGCTGGGATGGGCCTCAGCTGTTGTCACTATCTCTTTTATACATACCCAGAGAGTTTTGGAGGCCTTTCATAGTTAGGATTCAAGTCCATTCCATTGTCTCATGAGGTATCCAATAAAAAGCATTTTTATTTGATAATCATAACAGACCTATGTAATGATAGATACATTCTGTATGGCTCTTCCATCTGAAAATAAAAGTCCTATTAGCTGGTTGCAAATTAGTTACCCAGAGTCTGGGAATTTTTTGGGGCCACTAACATGTTAAGTTATTAAAAAATATATTTGGGTGGGGCAAGAGCTCTCAGTTATCCCAGCCTCTGCCTCCATCCCTCTCCCTTCCCTCTTGTCTTACCCTGGCTTTGCACTCCTCAATGGTGTGGCCTGGCTGACTGCAGTGGCCATTTAAGTCTGTATCCATTTCAAGAGATACACTGTGGCAGAGGATTGTAAGGAGCATTCGTGGAAATAATGGGCTGGGTGGGGTGACACACACACATGCCCTTGCCAGAGTCCTGGTTTTGTTGTTGCGTTACAGTCACATAAGATGTGACTATTGTGGTAGGCTGGGCCTCTTGGTATTATCTTTACAACTTCATGTGAAGCTGTAATTGTTTCAAAATCAAGATTGAGGAATAAAAAGGGCCTCCTTTGTGGGGGCCAGAACTGGTTGCCTCTGTGAGCAATTAGTGTGCCCACCAAATGTTTGAATTTCAGTCAGAAGCAGTTCCAGTGACCAGAAAGTGTTAAGTTTCCCACAAAAGGCAAACAAGTACATCGGTGAGAAGTCAACTGGGATGAATTTATGGCTCTCAAAGTGTCCATTTGGTAGGTTGATATATTCTCCATGATTTTTCATCATTTTCATGGAAGTTAGATATGTATTAAATATCTTGGTTTTATCTGTTAGGGCTTATGTTTAGATAGACCCTTAAGACTCTATTAAAAGATTGATTCAAACCAGAAAAAAAGCAGCCACTCAAAACATCCCAGTGCCAGCAGCAGAGCCAGAGAACCAGGAAGCAAGGGTCGGCCTAAGTGTCGTGCACCTGAGATGAGGCCGAGAAGTCCAATGCTGACACGACTCACCTGCATCTGCCTAAGTGACCCTTCCTGTTCCGCCTCTTGGAAAGTGTTGGGCCACAAACTGTTCAGTTTGTGCATATAAATTGCTTTCTTTCCTAGTTTTAAGACCATATGTGACTTGAATTCACACATGGAGATTAAGAGTAGGCTGGGATGAGTGACAAGGCTCTGGCTACAGAATCCAAGAAAACAAAGTGTACAATCCATGTACATCGGGGAGTATTTCCCTCCCACAAGCCTTTCCAGGACTTTTTAGTTGTTTAGCTTCAGACGTTTGCTTTTCACATCACAGATGGGGAGAGTGCAGACACCTATGGAAACATTCCTGACAGGCTGTCTAGAGGAGGGTGGTAATTAAGGGACTCCTCTGTGGCTTGTTCTCTGAAGTTCCTGAGATGAATGTTGAGTTCTGGGAAACAACTAAGTAAGCGTATGGTAATGTCTGCAGTGGGTGCCTACGCTGTCTGCCAAAATACAGGGCAGGAGAGCGAAATGCTACATGCTGTCCTAGTGGGCTGAGGCACGGTCAGCCCGCTGAAAGCAGGCAGACCCAGTGGGCAGCCTGAAGTTTTTCCAGTGAGTAAATGTGTGGCATGTCTATACTAAGGAATAGCATTTCCGTCCATAAACAGATTGAGTTAGAGGCTTCCTGGGGAGGCTTGTCAAATGAGACAGCCCAATTGCAGAAACATGTACACCATGATCTGGTTCTGTGAAGTAAGCTCTATCTGTGGTATTGGGTTTGCCATGACTGACTATATGAGCATGGAAGGAAGGCATGAAATGTGTTGGCAGGTTTTTAACATTGACTAGCATGGGTAAGGGGTGAGTGGAGCAGTGAACAAGGGAAGAAAGACTTCAAACCTAAAAATTAGAGGAGAGTGAGAGATGTTTTATCCGTAAAAAATCATATATGTATATTTTGTGTGTGTGTATGCCTAGGGAGAGGTATTATAAAATAGCTGTAAAAATGTTAGTGGGGTTTATTTCATGGTGTTAGGTTTTCAGCTGATCTTTACATTCCTTCTTAATTGTGTTAATTGAGCATTTTTATTTTACTTTTTATAATCACAAAAGAAACTCAGTTTTAAAGCTCTTTTCACTGTGAGGAAATACTCTAGCATGTTGAAAGGCACTCAGGCTGAAGACCCTGGGGAAAGGAGCCAAAACAGACAAGTGGGAGAGGCACTCCTTTCTGGGGTGGCTGGGGAGAAACCAAGTCTGAACTCCAAAGGAGACAGAGAAAAGCTCCTCTGAGTCTTGGGGGAATGGAGAAACCTGGGCTTGTATCTTGGTAGTGTGTCTTATGACTTTGACTTTGGCCATGTGACCTTGGTCACAGACCTTGTCTGTGCCACAGTTCCTCTCTCATTAAATGAGAACACTGGGGGTCATAGTGCAGGACCACCGTAAGCACTTTATGAACATTCTCCCACTGAATGAAGAATGATGAGTAAGGACAACAAGCTTGAATCAGTGATGTCACCTGTATAAAGTCTGAATGATATGGTAAATACTCAACAAGTGGTAGTTTTCTCCCTCTGATCCTCATGTTCTTTTCCTCAGCCAGTGTACCTGGGGATTGAACTCAGAAGAGTGGGGTTTTATCATAGCCTGAGTTCTGTGATCCATAGTACAGTCTTTGTGGGGCCTGATGGCCTTCTGCAAATGTGCCCTTGCTCATGTGGTCTCTTCAGGGATGATCTCTGAAACAGAAGGTATTCATATTTGTAAGATTCACATTGTATGCTTTTCTTTACACAGGCTTCCCCCCACCCCCGCCTCAGGTCTAAACTGCCAGTTTAAAAAAATATTTCTTAAACATTCTTGTACCTGCAGAGAGAACGAGGTGCTCAAAGTCCAACTGAAGAAATATGTAGGAGCTGTCCAGATGCTGAAAAGAGAAGGTCAAACAGCTGAAGGTGAGGGGGAGACTGAGGCTGGGAGGGGAGGGGGCCAAGCCTTCACACCATCATAGCCCCTATGCCTGGCACATAGTAGAGACTCAACATGTGATGAGCCATATGCGGAGGAGTTAGAAAAATAGTGCTGGTCAGGATTTGGGGAAATGAGGTGGAAACCCCTGCTGTGTATTCTTCCTAAATGCACAGACCAATCCTGTAAAACTTAATTGCTATATTATTAGTCACAGCTGTATCAGTTTGTGCACTTAGGGAATTTTATGTCTAGAGTCTTGAGACACATGCAAAGTAGGAACCTTGCAGCAAGAATAAGTCACATCAGGCCAGGGGGGAAAGCAACAGAATGCCGCAGTGGTGGAGGACCAGAGTTCTGGAGTTAGGAGGAGAAGGTCCAAGCCCAGCTCTGGCGAGTTGCTTAATCTCTACTTGAGTTTTCTCATCTGTAGAACGGGGCTGGTAAACAGTGTCTACCTCATAAGGCAGTCCATGTAGACATTATAGCATAATGCCTACCACTGAGTAAGTATGAGTAAATTTTAGCTATTGCTATTAATATTAATCACACACAGAAAATAATCACTTGACTAAGATCTCACTAAATGAGGTCGTGCTGTTTCCTGTCTTCGCAGTTTGGCTACAGCTTAGCTGTTGTGAATCTACTAAAATATTTCTCCTGAAAAAAGGATGTTTAAAGATATGTTTGTAGCCTTCAGCCAACTGACTATTACAATATTTTCTTAAATGCAAATGAGCTCTTAGAGTGTGGACATTTTAACAAAGGGGTGGGTGCCCCATGCTCTCGGGTCTTGGGGTCAGCCAGTCCTGAATTTGAGCTGAGGTTCACTCACTCTAACTTGACCTTTTGGAGGTATTTTGCCATTGGTAAGAGGAAACATCACACCAGTGTCATAGAGGTTGTTGTGGGCGTTTACCAAAATAATGCAGAGCTTCCAGTGTGTCACCTGGCACAGAGTTGGTGCTCAGTAAATGGTAGTTATTTTCCTATGTGATAGAGGGAGACAAGATTGGAATCTGAATATGGCTTGCATAGTAATAACATCAAGGCATGAATTTTCTTTGACACTTTTGTGTTTATTATGGCCTCAGTTTGATCAGACTCAACATTTTTTTCTCTTATATATGCCTTGCTTCAATCATGATTTGGTCTGTAACCACGACCAGTGGGGATATCATTGCAGAATTAATCATGTTGTCTTCTGTGGGCTCATCACCCTCTTCATACAGATGAATGGGCCTGAATTTGTCTTACTATCTGGAGTTATGCATATGTTGGTTTTCTGATGGTTGTTCACTTCTTCTCATATTTGTTTCCCTGGCCCCTGGCTTTTGTAGTCATTCATTCCATCCGTTTCATGTTTTGAATGAATAGTATTTGTAAATAGCCCTTTACCCTTCCCAAGCAAGTTGGAGTTAATTCTCATTTGGTTTGGTAACTCTGTGATGAGTTGGTATTTTTCCTGTGTTCTAAAAAGTTCATTTATTGTTGGAGGCTCACAAGAACTTAAGGAGCTCAAACATAATTCTGGGGTGGAAAGGAACTCAGGTCATTTTCCTCCAAACCCCTGATGATTTGCCTTGTAAAGTTCTTAAATTTAAGTGCACACAGGCATTACCAGGGGAACCTGTTAAATATGCCTCTTCCCAGTTGTTTTAGTGGATATAGGAGGGGGCTCTAGATTTGCATATGTAGATGTGTGACTCTAATGTAGGTAACCTGTGGCCCATACCGCCACCTTTTGAGGAATCTATACTCTGCTTACACAGAACTTTGATTTGGTGCAGTAAGAAAATTAAACCTAGGATAAAAGGAAGCACCACCAGGCTTGTGTTTCATTTAAAAACCTCATCATTATAAAGTACATGTCTGAGTAGGAGCATCTTTGGAGTGAGTCCTTGCATAATGGTTGCGTAGAATCTATAGTGTAAAGAATGGTTTCTCATGGCGGTCCATGTGCCCTTTCCTAAGACCCAGCCTGAAGGCTCTGATCCAAAGCTGGGCATGAGCCTTTTCAGGACGCAGCTGATAGTCCTTCCCTGGCCTGGATGAGAGCAGAGGCAACGAAGCGGATGGGTTAGCCCGCACAGCAGCAGTCCCTTACCACTCTGCCACTTACTGTGTGACTGGAGACCACCACCTCATCTCTGAGTCATCCTCTGGTGGGAGGTTCTTAGGAAAGCCCTCAAGAGCAGGCAGGGGCCCAAGAGGTCCTGTCGTTGCTTGTTTATGTCCTGCTGTTCACTCCTTTTCACCTGAGAAACATTAGCACCAGCTATGTACCAGGTGCCATAAAGCAGCCTCATTAAAATGCATACTTTCAAAAACTGTACTTGGGTCTTTCAAGACCTTTTACCTAATTTTCAAGTGATGTCATCTGTTACTCAAAGAAATTGGGACCAACTCCTCAACCCTGACTGGTGGCTGACTCAGGTTTCCGGAAACTTATGTACCCTGGCCAGGCTGGGATGTCCGGGGGTGTCTGGAGGGCTGGCAGAGCAGGGGCACGAAGGGGTTTGAGAGGGAATCTCTGACCTATGATTTCCTTGGCTTCTGGTGTTAGAGGGGTGGGCAGAGATATGTATTAGCTTTCCAAATCCTGGGTGAGAATTAAGATTGCGTTTTCCACAGTATAAGCCTTTTAGTTTGAGGATATAAAGGTTCTTTTTATCTTTTGGCAACAAATTGTTTATGAAGCTCTGAGTTCATCAGTAGGTAAAGAATGAAAAATGATTTAAGCCCTGAATGCTTTCAGGGTTGAATGGATAGCAGGAGGGCTGTACTGGGATCCCCACCTTTGTTATTGTGGAAAAGTACCTCTAGAATTAAAAAAGAAAAACAATCAACTTAAAATGGACCTTTAGAATAGATTTTTGACAACCTTTAATTTTACAGATTTCAGATTTTCAACATCTTCCTTTTTTTTTTTTTTTT